GCTGGACAGATTCACCGACTACAGTTCCGATACCTCAGTCGCTCCGATCCGCGAAACCATCGGCCAATCTCTCGGATCGGTCCTTCGCCATATCCCGGCAGAATCTGTTCACGGCATCTACAAGATTCTCTATCAGATGGTCATGCAGGATGATCTCCAGCTCGATATGCTTCAGTGGTCTGTTTGCCACGGTGGCATGGTTGGACTGAGATACGTCGTTGCGGTTAGGAAGGACCTTTTGCTGGAGGACAGTGAGATGATCGATGGCGTTGTCCGCCTAGTCATGAAGGGTCTGGAGGAACATGACGATGATGTCAGAGCAGTGAGCGCCGCGACCTTGCTTCCCATGACCAAGGAGTTCGTCACATTACGACCTGGATCCATTGACAGCCTCATCAACATCATGTGGGGCAGTTTGGCCGATCTTGGTGACGACCTCAGTGCCAGCACTGGTAAGATCATGGATCTACTCGCCACGCTCTGCAGCTACCCCGAAGTTCTGCAGGCCATGGAGACGTCCGCCGCGCAAGATGAGGAGCGTTCATTCACCTTGCTGGTGCCGCGCCTATACCCCTTCCTACGACACACCATCACTTCCGTCCGCTTAGCGGTGCTGAAGGCTTTGATGACATTCGCGAATCTGGGAGCTGAGAACTCCCGAGGCTGGCTCAACGGAAGAATTCTACGACTGATCTTCCAGAACGTCTTGGTTGAGAGGGACAGAGAAACACTGGCGATGTCTTTGGACGTTTGGACAGCACTGGTTCGCTCACTTGCACAGACGCCCGAGATTCTTGCCGACGAGTTCGCTGCGCACGTCGAGCCTCTGATGAGACTTACACTACAACCGATTGGTGTGTCCCGGCATCCCTTACCCATGCCCGCCCACCTATTCCAAAAGCCATCGGGCGGCACGTATGCACCTGTCGCCGTCACACCTGCCCGGAAGGCCTCTTCCCCCGACGGGCCCGAGAGAGCAAACAAGCGTCGTCGCAAATCTGCTAAGACGGATGACGTTCCAGTAACCTCTCATACCCACGACGTTGACGGGCACATGATCCAGGGAGATGTGGACCTCGTCGGCATGGATACTCTGATTCGATCGAGAGTATCAGCCGCCAAAGCCATGGGCCTGATCATGTCTTTCATTCCTATTGCTAGCCTTGCCGAGTACGACCAGCTACTTCTCGCCGGTATCTCCGACCGGGCTTCATCCACACAGCTCTCAGCATGTATGGTCATTGATGAGTATGCTACCAACGGCCCAGCCGAAGGAGCACAGAGATACGCAGCGCCTCTACAGAAGATCATTGAGACTGAACGTCCTACTCACTACGGCGACCTCGTCAGCTTCATGCATCGGGTGCGGTCCCAGTGTCAACAACTTCTCAACATGTTCCGCGATCACGGCAAAGTGTCTAGTGGCCGGCTTCCGACACTGGCTGTTCTTGTTCAGGGTGACGAGCAAGCAGGTCCAGGTGCCTTCTCCATTGTCGTTGCAGACAAGGTCGTTGGAGAGGATTTCGACAAGCTCAAGAAGGCCATGTCTCCAGGACAGCGTCTGGTTGCTAGCCAGATGCTCAGCGAGGCCAGGGAAGTGGCCATTTCTGCGATTACTGACGCCAAGGCCGCCAAGGACTCACGGGATGTTCGCATCAAAGCAGGTGCAGCTTGCGCCTTGGTTGCGATCAAGGCCCTGCCCAAGAAGCCCAGCCCACTGATCAAGGGCATCATGGACAGCATCAAGACAGAAGAAAACCAGGTGCTCCAGAGCCGGGCGTCGGCGACCATTGCAAGACTTGTGCAAGTGTTCAACGAGATGGGTCGTCGCGGACCAGCCGACAAGGTTGTTTCCAACCTGATCAAGTTCTCCTGTGTGGAGGTCGCCGAGACTCCAGAGTTTCCTGTCCACGCAACCAAGACGGATTGCGTGCTTTCAATGCAGAAAGAAGAAGATCGAGTCGATCATGCGGACGCTGCCAAGTGGGCAAAAGAAGTCAAGGCTGCTCGCATCACTCGTCGCGGCGCTAAAGAGGCGCTGGAGATTCTTTCCAAGACTTACGGCGCCGAGCTGCTCACGGCCGTACCTACTATCAGGGTATTCATGGAGGACCCTCTTGTCAAGGCATTCTCTGGCGCATTGCCGGCTGAGGCCAAGGACCCCGAGAATACCTTTGGCCAAGAAATCGTTGACGCCTTGTCCCTGATTCGGACGCTCATGCCAACTCTTGACAAGGCCATGCATCCATTTATCATGGAGAAGGTGCCGTTGGTAATCAAGGCCCTCCATTCCGAGCTCTCCGTCTTCCGCTACATGGCAGCGAAATGCATGGCTACAATTTGTAGCGTTATCACTGTCGAGGGTATGACAGCTCTTGTCGAAAACGTCTTGCCATCCATCAGCAACCCTATCGACCTCAACTTCCGTCAAGGTGCGATCGAAGCCATTTACCACTTGATTGCCGTGATGGGTGATGCCATTCTTCCCTACGTCATCTTCCTCATTGTCCCCGTTTTGGGCCGCATGAGCGACTCAGATAACGAGATTCGCCTAATTGCGACAACCTCTTTTGCAACATTGGTCAAGCTCGTGCCCCTGGAGGCAGGCATTCCAGACCCCCCAGGTCTGTCTGAAGAGCTACTCAAGGGTAGAGATCGCGAACGAACCTTCATTTCCCAACTGCTGGATCCCAAGAAAGTGGAATCGTTCCAGATCCCTGTCGCTATCAAGGCTGAACTTCGTTCTTACCAGCAAGATGGTGTCAATTGGCTTCACTTCCTCAACAAGTACCACTTGCACGGCATTCTTTGCGACGACATGGGTCTCGGAAAGACCTTACAAACCATTTGCATGGTTGCCAGCGACCATCACCAGCGCGCCGAAGAATTTGCGAAGACGGGTGCACCCGACGTGCGCCGTCTTCCATCTCTGGTTGTCTGCCCTCCTACGTTGTCCGGCCATTGGCAGCAAGAGATCAAGACTTACGCGCCCTTCCTGAGCGTCACTGCTTATGTTGGCCCGCCAGCCGAGAGAAAGAGTATGAAGGACAACCTGGACAAGACCGATATCGTCGTTACCAGCTACGATGTTTGCCGAAACGACGCCGACGTTCTTGCAAAATACAATTGGAACTACGTCATCTTGGACGAGGGACATTTGATCAAGAACCCGAAGGCCAAGATCACTATTTCCGTCAAGAAGCTGGCCAGCAACCATCGGCTAATTCTGACCGGAACACCCATCCAAAACAATGTGTTGGAGCTCTGGTCCTTGTTCGACTTCTTGATGCCCGGCTTCCTTGGTGCGGAGAAGGTGTTCCTGGACCGGTTTGCAAAGCCCATTGCCGCAAGTCGCTTCAGCAAGGCGTCTTCTAAAGAACAAGAAGCAGGTGCTCTCGCCATCGAGGCTCTCCACAAGCAAGTCCTGCCATTCCTTTTGCGACGTCTCAAGGAGGAGGTACTGGATGATCTGCCACCCAAGATCTTGCAGAACTACTACTGCGACTTGAGCGACCTCCAGAAGAAGCTATTCGATGACTTTACCAGAAAGCAAGGCAAGAAGCTGCAAGAAGAGGCCGGCCGCGAAGACAAGGACGCCAAGTCGCACATTTTCCAGGCCCTGCAGTACATGCGAAAGCTCTGCAACTCTCCAGCCATGGTCATGAAGCCCGGACACGGCATGTACGAAGAGACCCAACGCATCCTTAGCAAGCAAGGCACCAGTCTCGAGGATCCGGTTCATGCACCCAAATTGACCGCTTTGCGAGACCTACTGGTCGACTGCGGCATTGGTGTGGAAGAAGCTGAGTCGAACGATCCTCTGTATCAGCCAATCAAGCCTCATCGCGCCCTCATCTTCTGCCAAATGAAGGAGATGCTGGACATGGTTCAGAATACGGTTCTCAAGACTATGCTGCCAGGCGTCACTCACCTTCGTCTAGATGGTGGGGTCGAAGCCAACAAGCGACAGGACATCGTCAATAAATTCAATAGCGACCCGTCGTACGATGTCTTGCTTCTGACTACCAGTGTCGGAGGTTTGGGACTCAACTTGACGGGTGCCGATACGGTCATCTTCGTCGAACACGACTGGAATCCGCAGAAGGATATGCAGGCCATGGATCGAGCTCATCGGATTGGTCAGAAGAAGGTTGTCAACGTATACCGCTTGGTGACCAGAGGCACTCTGGAAGAGAAGATTCTGAGCTTGCAACGCTTCAAGATCGATGTAGCTTCAACCGTGGTCAATCAACAGAACGCCGGCTTGGCCACGATGGATACAGACCAAATTCTGGATCTCTTCAATCTCGGGGACACAGGTCCCAGTCTCATATCAGACAAGCCGCAAAACACGATGGAGGGTAGAGAGGAAGATATGGTGGATATCGAAACGGGAGACGTCGTCACGGGCAAGCAACCGGGCAAGAAGGCTTGGCTTGACGATTTGGGTGATCTTTGGGACAATCGCCAGTATGAGGAGAGTTTCGATCTGGATGGTTTCTTGAAGACCATGCAGTAATAATACCCCCGACCACGGTCGTATCAGTAGGATGTTGGAGGGAGGCCGTTGAGAGCCTTGTGTATGGAGTTTAGCCTGGCATCTGGTTTAGACAAGAGCGACTTGGATGCCTTTTCGATAGGGAGGCTTGAGACCTCTCACGCATTAGTGTACTCATAACGAAACGTGTGCGCGGAAAACACCTGTACCATATGATACTAGCAATTTACGACTCAAACGACGCAGGTTGGGTGAAAGAAAACAGCTGAGCGTTTAAATCACTTTGGCCATTCATTGCCCTACTTTTCACTGCATCTGAACCCGTCTCGTGTGGTGATTGACACTACTGATCTATACGTGTGACTTCTCTGTTCAACATTCTTTATTATCATGAAGGCCCCAAAGACTGCAATAAAACCAGTCAACTTTGTTCCTTCAAAGGTCAACAATGAAAACATTCTGATTAGATAATACACAGTACACTAGCAATCGTGATTTGAGAGGTTTGTGATAGGCTACTCTGGCCTCCACATCAACAGTTTGATTGTGGCTAAGCAGCAGAACGGATTAACACAAGTGCCATTACAAGACCTTCCTCACACCTCTTCGCCCAAAAGAAGCCGCTGGGCTCATGGCCGCAAAGAGGGCATCGACGGGCCTTGTGCAATTCCTCTCAGATCTGCATCTCGAAGCTAGCAGAGACTACTCAATATTTGACTTTCCCGCCACGGCACCTTATCTCCTACTCTCTGGCGATGTGGGTAGTCTATCCGACTACGACAGTTACCTCGGGTTCATCTGCCATCAGACGGATCGGTACGAGAGTGTCTTACTTGTACTAGGCAACCACGAGTTTCACGGTCTCACGTACGACAAAACACTCGCAGAGGTAGCAAAGCTTGAAGCAGAGCCATCGCTGGAGGGGAGGCTACATATACTCCACCAACGTAGATTCGATATCCCTGGTTCCGATGTCAGCATCCTGGGATGCACATTGTGGACGATGGTCCCGGAGGAGGCGAGGGCTGCGGTCGTGGGTAGAGTCAAGGATTTCCAGCACATCAAGGGGTGGAGCATTGAAGTACACTGCGCAGCTCACAGAGCGGACTTGGCTTGGTTGAAGACAGAGTTGCAGGAAGCGGTGGCGCGTGGGAGAAAGGTTGTTATTGCGACTCACCATGGGCCTTTGTTGGAGGGGACTTCGGAGCCGAGGTTTACGGGTAGCCCGTGGTCTTCGGCTTTTGCGACGGATGCGTTGGAGGAACTTGAGTTCAGTCGGGTACGTTGCTGGGTGTTTGGCGCATACGCATTTGTCTACGGATATGGTGGTGAAGGGTGTTAGGATTGTGAGCAATCAGAGGGGATATATTGGGTTTGGGAGAGTTGTGAAGGAGGGGTTTGATCCTACAAAGACTTTGTCTTTTCAGTAGCCACCTTGCAAACTACTGCTCAGAAACTGAGAAAGAGAATCTGCGTAACACTAGTTACTTATCAGCTTGCAACTTGGGAGAGTTGATTCACTATGTACGGTAATTTCAGCCGGGCTGTGTGACAAGTGAAGACAAAGAGTCAAAGTGAAAGGTGAGAGGGATGTCGTTGCTGATCTCATAGCTGAGCTCAGCTACCGGGATAGCAATACAGCGGCGGGGTAATGCCCCCGCACCTGTGATGCACAAGTGGCACCGTACTGGCTCTGCACCAAGCTCCTGCCAACCAGCAGCCATTGTCAATCAAAATCCAGAACATTCCACTCAACAACATCGCTTTCAAAGTCAACAATCGAAGCCCACATCAACTGGAGGCAATCACCCATCTGCATCATATTGTTGAAGCACCCGTTAAGATGCCCGTCGACTACAGCAAATGGGTGCGTTTCATATCCTCCATTCCCTCCCCATCCACGGTCCTAGGGACGCCGACCGCAGTGGCTAACATGTAAATACGTCAGGACGCGCTGGAGCTCAGCGACGACTCGGACGTCGAGGTCCATCCCAACGTCGATAAGCGCTCCTTCATTCGAGCGAAGCAGAACCAAATCCACCAGGAGCGACTGCAGCGCAAGCACCAGATCGAGACGCTCAAGTACGAGCGCATCATCAACGATGGCCTGATGAAGCGCATCTCCAACCTCTTGGACGCCCTCAAGTCCCATGCCTCCGAGGCCGAGACCCGCAACCCAGGTGAGGTCGCCTTCCAGGCCGTCATGGAATCCGCCGGCAAGCCCGAAGACGACCAGCCGCCTCCGCGCCCCGAGGGAATCCACGCCGACTCGGAGCCGCTGCCTAGCTTCTCCAAGATGATGGCCGTGCTGCTGGACCAGGTCAACAAGGAACTGGACGAGAAGAAGCCCGAGAACCGCTACAAGGCTATGCTCGAGGGTGTCGAGGGCCACCTGACGAAGGTGCAGAATCTGCAAAAGGAGCTGTTTGCCAAGCTGGCCGAGCTGGAGAAGGAGGAGGGACGCAAGATCACGAGCGAGGGCATCCACACCGGCTTCGACAGCTCGCACGTCAACAAGTCCAAGGACACGGAGAAGAAGGAGGAGCAGCGCAAGCCGGAGCTCCTGAACCCCAATTTTGACATGACACAGTCCCTTCCGGCCAAGTCGACCCAATCGTACGACGACGATGAGGAGATTGAGGCATCGCCCGCCGCCAAGAAGTTTGCGCAGATCAAGGCCGAAGATTACACATCCAGCGCGCAGTACCTTTCCAAGAACCCGCAGATCCTGACGGAGCGGGAGACGGACGGCCTTCTTGTCCTCGCCTTTGACGCCGCTCTCGAGAGCAAGGACGACTTTTGCCGGCAGTGCGTACACCAGGCGCTGCTGTTGCAGTACTGCAGAGCGCTGGGCAAGGACGGCGTGGGCATGTTCTTCAAGCGCATCACGACCAAGGGCCACCAGGCGCAGGAGGTGTTCTTCAAGGACGTGCAGGACACTTACGGCAAGATCAGAAACCGGGCGCGGGAGATTGTCAGGGAGCGCGCCAGCGAGCCCGAGGGCGTGGAGCAGATCCAGCTGCACGCGGTGGAGCCCGGCACGGAGATCAAGATTACGATCCCGCCCAAGGACAGCGAGGACCCCGCCGTGAAGGAGGGTCGGGATATTTTTGAGACATTCAGCGCGGATTTCCGGAAGGCTCTGGAGAGTGGCAGTCTGGATGAGGTCAACAAGGTGTTGGGCAAGATGAAGGTCGAAGAGGCTGAGGATATCGTCGGCAAGCTTGGAGACGTGAGTAGTCCCTTCTTCTGTGCAGATGTCTGATGAGCCGGTTCACTAACAACATCATGACCTACAGGCCGGCATCTTGAGTCTGGAGGAGCAGATTATCGACGCCACGACGGAAGAGGGCCAGAAGGCGCTCAAGGACATGGAGGCGGCGCAGGCCGGTTCCGAGTCCGGATTCGCGCCGGACCCTGAATAAATGAGGGGGAAAGGAAGCATTCGTACGTCGACTAGAGCCGGAACATGGGGCAGGGTCAGAGCACATTGCGCAGACTCCGCAAGAGAAGAAGTGTTGGCTGGCGCAAAGGCATTATGATGAACAAACTCATGAACACGGGAGGATGGTCTGTCTGGTCCAGTAGTCACTGAGTAAGCAGATTAGAAAGATTCAGAGACATAATACATCAACATTCTGAGCATTGAACACAACTTGAGCATTGCATGAACTGCGGCTGCGCCCTTGTCCGGGGGACACGCGTGACGGAGGAGGTCTTGACAATGGCATTAACGGCATTGGCGAATTTCGTCCACGGTTCGGGTCCAACAAATGGGCTGAGACGAACGACATGCTGATGTGCTGCGGCGGCGGACGTGGTTTTTGCGCTCGGCGTGGCTTAGGTTGACAGCATTTTTTTCGGGTGACGGTCCCTCCCCCACTATCCTTACCGTACCGATGGTATTGGGTTCTTGGGAGGTAAGAGAGAGGGAGAAAATGTGACGAACACAGAGTCCGCGCGGAGGCAAAGGAAACGGCTTGTGCGCACGACAAGCAAGTTTCCTATCCTGCGCCTGGACCTTTCTGGACCTGGAGAGTAGAAAGAGCTAGGTAGGTATCCGTAGACATGTTCGGGTAGAGCTACCGAGCAAGACAGACGTGGCTTTTTTGCCATCCCTTTTCCCGGGATCGGATTGACAGATGTCAAAACGTTCTTGTCTCGGAGTTTGCTTTGATCGTGCCCCCGCCTAATACTAATAACAGTTCTCTAGGTCGTTTTTGACGATGTTGGTGGTGTTTCACAGAGATCAAAGACGGCTGCACATCGTCACGTGGGTATTTATCCTACATACCTAAACGCCTTCTGTACTCTGCACGTGGTACATGCGAATAGTCTGGACTTCCTCTCCCGACTGCGCAAAGACGTAAGTGATCGGCACATTGGGACGAGGCAGAGAGAAAATAAGCATGTCTTGGTCAAGCTATTGCTTAACCTACCATGTCGTCAGGTCCCGAAGAGGGAGGGTTGAGGCTGAGCAAGAAGAGAAGAAGTGACATGAGAGACATGAGAGATGTGCAACTGCGCAGAGTTCAAAAATAGCAACGGGAGGCGATCTTAGGCTGGGTAGCCCTGTGGAGACCCCTTTTTGACGGGAATACTGCGGTCTATTCTGCTCGCCGGGCATGTATCCGTACTTCTGTCTACGTACATTCGCTGCCTTGGACAGTTGTACAGTTGGGTGGGCTTTGTCAGCGATCCGTTGTCTGCTGTGGCCAAGCGAGGATGCTCCTCAAAGATGTTGCTTTTGGCGAACGAAAGCTGATGATGATTATGGTGACGAGCTGCTCTTCCTGTCCGGTGGAGAGTCTGTTGTTTACGGAGTACTTGGTTGGTTTCCTGTTCCTATTTCTTGTCCACTGTAAAGTCTCCATCAAAATGGCATCTTTTCTTTGGATGGCAGAGGTACGTCTAGCTAGTGGCGACCCTAGAAACTGGGACAAAATTCCCGTGGCTTGGGAAGTTCTTTTCTTGGAACAGTGCTGGGGAACCCGCCGGCAGATGGGAACGGGGGGGGGGGAGGTCTGGACCAGTCGAACTGCTTCGCTGGGCGCGGGTGGGAAGCCACACCTTTTTTCTTGCGGTGGCGGCGCTGGACTTGAAGTGTAGATCTCTAGTGTCCAAGCCACTCGCTTTTCCTCTCGCACCTGGCACCCAATCAGTGTGTCAGTGTGGGTGTTGTTGTCGTGTGTGATCAACAGCAACGAAAAAGTTGGAGGTGGGCTCTTCTTGTCGAGATTCTCCAATTTTTGTATGAGCCAGCCTTGGGAAATCAACAATTACTCGGCTGGCCGGCTGGACAACCATTTGGGTTGGTGGGTGGTCGTAGTTCGGTTGTCGGAACGGCATGTGCGTATGTACAATCGGTTGACATGCCAAAGTCGGTGAAGTGATATGAAAATGCGAGGCGACGGGGGAATAAAGAAAAAAGAAAAAAGAAAATGCAGAGTCAGCCGCAGTCAATAAGCAGGCACCACGAGTCAGCCTCTAGACAGCCTCTCTCAACAACACTGTTTACGAATAATGCGATTTTCTGGCCGAGGTAAGGATACGTTGGTGGTTGCGAGGTTAACCATCTGCAGTTGTGCCAGAGAGATCTGCACACCGCATGAATCATACTGGAGCCCGCGCGTTGCAGGTTTCCCAAGTCAGAAATGGCCGTGGCAGGAGAGTTTGCAAGTTGTATAGGTATTCTCTCGTTTACATCACTCGATTGGCGATGAAGATGAAAATAAAAAGAGGTTGACTTGGCTACCGACCTCATTTAGTATCCAGTTTATCTGGAGAGTTCGGATGTATCTGTACGGAGTGCATCTTGCATGTTCTCCATCAAAAGGTTTCCTCACTATTCCAACGTTCATGTAACCCGCTGCCAGAGATACGTCATTGGGCCCCAGAGAAACATTTCCATCTTCCATCCTCACACACGGATCGTCCTCGGGCGGTACAACGGCGCCGAAAGCGAAAAAAGGAGGGGAAAAAAAAAAGGACGGGAAGTCTGTCCTGGACCAGGGGGGGAGTTTGTCTCTTGGCCCAAGCAGGAAAAAAAGTATCAAGCAATTAAGCGGTAAGCAAGTGTAAAAGCACGGGACAAGATCGTTTGTGCGATTGGGCAGAAGATTTCGGGTTGCGACTGCGACTGCGACTGCGCAGGACACTCTGTCGCGCAATGCATTCCCATGCTATTGAGCGTGGTGATGGCGTGCCGTGGAGGGAACAACGCGGCTCCATGAGCGCAGATAGGTGTGGGAGGTAAGGGAGACCCCCCGACACTCGACTCAGGGGGCACCCTACCCAAGGTTTGGACTTTGGAGGGTGATACGTCGAGCGACACCATTGCGACTGTCCATTCTGACATTCTGTTTTCTCCTTCGGCTTGGGACTTGTCTCACGTCCGTGGAGTAGGTAGGCTCCAACTTCTATATTGTACTATGAAAGACGCTAGTTGAATGGGCGGGAACCAGCAAAGTGGGAAAGGTGACACGCACACACTGACACACTACCTCTTGACTTTAGTATAAGTGAAGAGGGTCGCTGATGGTACACGCTGCCTTATTTCCTAGCTCCGTCTCGGGCTTACTACGCAACAGCTAAAGCACCTAAAGCACTCTGGATGGAGGCCGCGCCCATTCCTTTGTACAGAGTACAGTCCAGAGAGACTCAAACTCACAGAGTCCGACCTGGATCTGCATGTAACGGGCATTGCTGGGGAGGGAAAGGCGCGAGACAGCTCTTCTCTTATTGGCGACGGCAGGAGAGGAGGGGGAGGGGGGATGAGGGTAAAACATCACGCATCACCCCCTTTGAGTCTTTTCTTGCTGCACTGCACGTCTTTGCTGACGGACTTGGGCCTGATGCACAATTCGGAGAGGGAGGCTGTGTAAGTCTGAGAGGTGAGATGTACGTGTACATTTGGCGGTGCAAACAAGTTATCCGTGGCAGCTATCTGGGATTAGTACTTCGAGACGACCCAGGCAAGCATACTGAAAGTGAATTAAAAAAGAATAAAAAAATTTACAGTGGCTAAGTGTTGGATTCTTCTCGGTGGTTTCCGTCGTTCTTCTCTTGCAATTTTCTCGTATGTATTCCATACAAGGGGGAGAAAAAAGAGTGACTGAAAAAAGAGTACGAGTACAACCGTGGCTGCGCCATGCCGCCATGTAGCCCGCCCGTGTACACGCCCGGAGCCCCACCGGGAAACGGGGGACGGACTGGGGGCCGCGCAACCAACAGGGACCAAGTCTCTCTGGCTCTGCTGTCATAGTCCGTTACTCTGGTGCACCTCCCTTCTTCAGCTTCGGCGCACTCTTGTCTGATATTTCTCCAGCCCCATTGGGGCTACGTAAGTACCCATGCCATAGGTATCCGTACCTAGTGTACTGCGCAGGATGTATGGGTACGGAGTATGGATATGGGTATCCGAATGGGGGATGAGGAAACATCCCAAGTGTTCCCCTTCGACCCTCCTTGGCCTGGCCTGGCCTTGCGAGGATCCTCCCTTCATGTGTCCAACATATTAAGAACTGGGGATCCGGCACCAACCTTTCCTTTGGCCTCCACGCTTACTACTAATACACCAGTCACACTACGAATACGCTACCTCTTGCCTCGCCTTACATCAGACTCGAGGATTTTGCCTGTCCTGGATCTACCTTTAACCTACCTTGTCCGGTAACATCCCGTCTCGCGTTGCCCTGCTCACTTCAACCTCCTCGCTACTTCAGTCTCCGCCTTTTCGACTGCCTCTCGTCATCTCTCTCTCTCTCTCTCTCTCTCTCTCTCTTTTCCTCTGCCTCATCTCCGACCTCGCGGGTTTTCCTGCTTTCTTGCACCTTGAGTCAGCCTCCTCAAAGCTGCAGAGCAAGATCCTCAAGCCGACGATCACTTCTTTCGACGTTTACTTAGTCGACCAGCTTCCGCTTTCGTCGATTTCCGCATCCGAGGTTTTTTGGGTTCAGTCTTACACGGACAACACCAACAAATTATACACACTCACACACAAACACATCAACAACATGGTCTTCTCACTCCGCAAGGCCTTCGCGGCCCTCCTCGTCACGACCGCAACAGTCTACGCCCTCCCCTCAGACTCCTCCTCGTCAACAGAATCGACGGTAAACACAACCACCCTCGCCGCCACCTCCTCAAACTCGACAGTCTGCAACAACTCCCCGTCCCTTTGCAGCCGCAAGTACAACAACATCACCCACATGGGCGCCCACGACAGCGCCTTCCTCCGCGACGCCAGCACTTCAAACTCCATCGCCGGTAACCAGTACTACAACGCCACCGTCGCCCTCAACTCGGGTCTGCGCCTGCTCCAGGCCCAGGTCCACCTCGTCAACGGCACCTCGGGCAGCGTCCTCCAGCTCTGCCACACCACCTGCAGCCTCCTCGACGCCGGCACCCTCGAGAACTGGCTCTCCGCCGTCAAGGACTGGATGGACAAGCACACCGACGACGTCGTGACCATCCTCCTCGTCAACTCGGACAACCAGGCCGCCTCGGCCTTTGGCAAGGTCTTTGAGTCCTCGGGCATCTCCAAGTACGGCTACAAGCCCTCCACCTCCTCCGCGACCTCGAGCTGGCCCACCCTCCAGACCATGATCGACGCAGACACCCGCCTCGTCACGTTCGTCGCCTCCATCACCGCCGACACGGGCTACCCTTACCTCCTCCCCGAGTTCGCCTACGTCTTCGAGACGGCCTACGAAGTCACCTCCGCCGGCTTCAACTGCACAATCGACCGGCCCTCAACCTACTCCACCGCCGCCGCCGCCGTCACGGCAAACATGCTGCCCCTCATGAACCACTTCCGGTACCAGACCCTCGCCACCGACATCCTCATCCCGGACGTCAGCGACATCGACACGACCAACTCGGCCTCCACCAGCACGGCGGGCAACCTCGGCCTCCACGCGCAGACGTGCAAGAGCCAGTGGGGCACCAAGCCCGTCTTCGTCCTCGTCGACTTCTTCAACAAGGGCCCTGCCATTGACGCCGCAGATAACCTCAACGGCCTCTCTTCCTCCGACATCTCGGGCCGCAGCAGCAGTAACAGCGCCACTGCGAGCTCGAGCAGCGGCAAGTCTGCCGGCAGAGCGCCCGGTGGTATGGAGACCGGCGCGCTCGTCGCGTTCCTCGCCGCCGCCGTGTTCTTGTTTTAAGGGGTCGTCTCTGTTTCTGATTGTCAGGGTCCGAGCCAAAGGAAGATGTGACACTTTTCATGCGACAATCTCATGAAAAGAGTGTCTGTGTGTGTGTACACGCTCAAAGGGACATATCTCGGATGAACACTAAGATTCCCCCTCTTGTTTTCCTTTTTTCTCTCTTTTTTACTTCTTTTTTTTTTTTTTCCAACAAAAAGATGCATAGCGACGGCGTTCTATTATGAGCCGAGATCATCGGCAGAAACGACTCTTTTCTTGCCTTTTTTTCCAATTTTTTTTTTTCCACAGCTTTGTTCATGTATGACCCCGGGGAAAACGGGACCCCCGCGAGTTTTGTTTGGAAGAGAGCCCTTTTGGGATTGAGGGCAACACCACTGCAGTTGATCAGGATTGGATCAATGAAGTAGATAGATAGATACCAAGCATTGAGTAAAATCGTGCCCAGATCAATACGAAAAATCAACTTGATGAAACAAACTACAAGTGCCCTGATTATTGATGAGTGAAGTTGAATTAGTTGAGTGAAGAAGTGAGGATAAGACAAAACTCATTAGGAAGGTAGCAAGCACCCCTCCTCCTCTACGGTTAGGAACGGACCACCCCCACCCCTCATTGCATCATTGGGAAAGGTACTCTGCACGGCGACGGCATCTCAAAGTCAACGACATATCAAATTTCCTTGTATTTGCTATAATTTCTTCCTCAAGATCCTTCAGGAGACCTAAAGTAGCGTGTCCGTCCCATTTCTCAACCTCAGCAAACTTTGCGTAAAGTCAAGCCCTCGCATCCCCTCCAGGAACCAACCTCATAGCTACAACACTCAACACGCCACCACCCCGTGGACCTCAGTACCTGAACCCAAAGTCGCGCAAATCCAACCCCACCACATACCACTCATTCAATCACTCAGACCCAACATCACCAAACCTTCCTTCACTCACATACATCCACCAAGCTCTCAGACAACAAGCTCACTAGCACCCACCACAAGCGAAAATGTCCACCGAAGACTACTCCAACATCCCCACCCCCGAAGCCGCCTACGCAGACTTCTGCCTCATCCCCGTCGGCACAGGCAGCGTCTCCGTCGCCAACGAGGTCGCGCAGGTCCAGCGCCTGCTGAAAGCGAGCGGGCTCAAGTATACCATGCATTCGGCCGGGACTACCGTTGGTATGTCTCTCTTCTGATTCATCTCACCACCGCCGCTCTCCCTCTACTTCCCCTCGGCTCCTATGTCTCCAAGCCTAGAACCGTCATATTGTGCGAGACCGTGGAAGCCTAGGAGATTCATAACACCCCTGTGTCGGGACTGGATCCAGCTACACCAAAAGCCAAATAGAACGCTGCTAACACACGTGCGTCCCAATCTTCAGAGGGAAGCTGGGACGACGTCTTCCACGTCATCGGACAAGCGCACTCTCTCGTCCACCAGAGCGGCGTCGTGCGGATCCAGTCTTCGATGCGCGTCGGCTCGAGGTTTGTCTATCTAAAATGAAATTTCCCATCACAACGAAGCAAAGCAGCAAGTTGTGTTTGCGCGGACAATATTTGAGTGGCTGATGATGGTTATTCCTCTTTGCACAGGACGGACAAGAAGCAGTCTGCCGCCGACAAGGTGGCGCGGGTGGAGGGCATCCTGGCGCAAGACCAGTAAACGTTCAAGGCCAAGCTGTGGTGTGGTATGAGACGGGTCACGGTGAATACATACAACAAAGGTTGATAGCTTATTAGGTTATGATTTGACACAAAGATATACTATTTGATTTCCCCGTAGCCGCCGCCGCCGCCTTTCATGATGGTACATGTATACATCTCAGCCTTCGTAGATTGTAATATTGACACCGCCGACCCCTTCCTTGGATCCCTAGACCGCCCTCGGCCTATTTTCCTCCAGGTTTTCAAAAAAAAAAAAAAACCTTTGATGAAGGGTAGCAACTTTTCAAGAGCTTCCACTTTGGGAAAGCATTCAAACACTGCTTTAACCGCGCATGGTCTGCTTCTTCATGCTCTTCTTGAGGTCGCGCTCACGCTCCCTCTCGAGGTACTTCTTCTGAGCTTTGGCGTCCAGGGCGCTGAGCTCGGCGTCGCGCTTGGCCTTCTTCTGCTTCTCGCGTTCAAGGGTGCGCTCCTCGGCCTTCTCAGCCTCGGCAGCCTTCTTGAGCTGGGCGATGGTCTCCTCGCGCACGCTGCGGACCTTGCGCAGGACCTCGGGGCGGAAGTGCGCGCCAGAGACGAGGGCGTCGGGGATGCGGACAAAGTATTCGAACAGGGGCAACAGAGATTCGTAGTTGTTGCTCGAGGGGATGCGGTAGCGGAGGAAGATGCGCTTGCGGGGGGTGGTCTCCTCGATGCTATTACGCTGTTAGTATTGTACATAAAAACGACAAGTCGCAGTTGAGACTTACGTGCTGGGGCGCTCAATGGGCTGGTCAGAGACGATGAGGTAATCAAACGCGTCGCCGGCAGCCTCAACGGCCTTGATGAGCTCAGGGGTCAACAGCTGCTCGGTGATCTCGGCGCTCTCGCTCATGACGGTAACCCAATTGGGAAGCTTGCCATTGTCCTTGGTGAAGGTGATGGAGACATCGTAGCGATCGTCGCGAACCTGCTTCATGCGCTCCTTGGAGACGATGGCCCAGACAAAGTTATCGTACGTGCTCTTGTTCTCCTTGCTGCGCAGCTCGTGGGTGCCGGGGATCGCGGGGACGGTGAGGCTCTCCTTGCCGTCAAAGGGGTAGATGACAGCCTCGACAGAGTCGTGGGGCGCCTCAACAGTATCCATGAAGAAGCTGGTGACGGCCTCGATGATGCTGAGGAACGGGTTGAAGCGCTTGGTCAGCGTCAACTTGACGTCCATGAAGGCGACATTTTGGCGACCGGTTCCGTAGCTAGCAAACTCGAAGAGAGACTTCTCGCGCAGCAAACCCGTAGGGTCCTTGGGGTCGGTATCGGTCGTGGAACGCGGGGAGAAGCCGACGGAGGCGAACTCAGACTTGAGCACCGGCGCGTGAGCCGTGGCCCAAGACTTGGCCTTCTTGCGGTTGAGGCGCGAGCCAATGATGTGCAGGAGGAAGACGACGACGCTGACGGCGAGGATGGCACCCTCGAGCTTGAACTCGCTGAGGGAGTGGCGCTCGTGGATGTTGTACCACTTCGTGAAGGGACGTCCCGTGGCCTCGGGCGCGCCGCCGAGCGTCGTGCCGCCAGGGGCAGCCGTGAAGGCGCTGGGAACGGGTGACGGGTCAGCAGCACCGGCGAAGTCTGCAAAGTCTATACGCGAGAGATGATTGCGTCAGTCTAATGAGGTTGTGGATTTTGTGGGTGCTGAGGGGAAACTGGAAGCTTTGACAGCACGGGGGTTGGTTTAGGGGGCAGGGGAATTGAGTCTCGAGAGGAGCATACCGGAATCACCGCTAGGAATTGGGGATGCGGAAGGCTTGGAGCCTCCGAAGAGACCGTTGAGGATGGCGGCCATGGTTACGGTCGGGGGAGGGATGGCTGGCTGGCTGCGGTGGTGTCGAGATCCAAGACTGCAGACAGTGAAGCTGCGAGCTTGTGAGGAGGTATCGCCAACCAGAAGGCGAAATTAGGCCAGTCGTCAACCTGTCGTCAGCCAGTCACGTCGCTTTTCTGGAAGCTGGGGCACAGTGACGTTTCTCCACCTTTTCATCTGAATGCGGTCGACCGTCGTAGAACCCAGGCCAGTGGGTCTCAGTGTCTCGTGCTCGGCCCGGGGGGTCCTTTAGCGGCTGCGGGCTAACGCATCTTCCGGGCAAGCTCTGGTTGTCTGGACGACGCGCCCAGAATGTCAATAGATGCCAACGTCAGTCAGTCATGGCGACATCATGCAATAAAGCGTCACAGGCGATAGCACTCAACTCAACAAACCAACCCTGTATGGACTCCCAAAGAAGAAGACAAAATGGTGCGAACAACTGCAGCTCGTACTTACGGCAAGACCTCAACAAAGGCAAAAGCAAGGCGACTGTTTGCTGAACTTCCACAAACCCCGATTCGGAAATCCAATGCGACGGTCACGGTAGACCCCGAGGATGATTCCATCATCAAGATTACCGAGGAACTGGACGCTCTTGGGATTAACCTAGATTCCTACTCCTCGGAAGATGAGCTATCAAAAGACTTCAGCGAAGTTGTTGTAGCATCTCCGCCAACACCACAAAAACCGGAAACTTCACCACGGGCGGTGAAACAAACCCCAAGGACCGCGAAAACCACGAGAAGGATAGCCAAAGGATCGCTTCCTACACCCGTATCAAAGGCTGAAACGCCCAAGATCAAAGCCCCCGAAGTGCCAGTAGGGCCTCAGCCCGACTATCGCATTCTTACCTGGGAGGATGTTTGCCCACCCGGAGACACAATCGAGAAGATTGCTGAGGCTTCTTACGCAGAAGTATACCGCGTACGAAATGAGCGTGGCACGAGCATCATCAAATGCATCCGTCTCGAGTCGCCTATCAAGGCGCAAACCAAGGCTCAGGAGCGTTCTGGACTCGTTGACGAAGAGCCGCACTCAGAAGACGATATGCGTGGTGAACTAAGCATATCCGAGTGGCTCGCCGACATTCCCGGTTTCGTCATTTACAAGGAGCGCTACCTTGTGAAAGGAAAGGCCCCAAAGTGCTTGCTTGAAACACATCAAGGCTTTCATCGAAAGATGAAGCGCAAGGACCCGGACAGGCTGCAGTATTACCCGAGCCCGAGTCGCTATCTTGATGAGACCACTTTCCTGGTGGTGGAGCTGGGTGATGCAGGAACTGCACTCGAGGACTTCGAGCTTACGGACTCCAGTCAGCTGTGGGATATCTTCTTCCATGTAGCCATTGCACTGGCTAGGGCGGAAGATTTAGCTTGCTTTGAGGTATGTTGGCACGCCATTGAAGCGACTGGCAGGACAGCGTGAGCTAACAGGATCAGCACCGCGATCTGCACGAGGGCAACCTTTGCATACGGAGGTCAGAAGACCCACAAACGCGGGATCCGAAGAGAGCAGGGCCGTACTTTGGCTACTCTGGCCTCGACATTACGATTCTTGACTATGGTCTCTCTCGTGCCGAGGATCTCGAATTAGAGGAATCTGAGCCTATTGCACTCGACCTCGAGAAGGACCTCGGCATCTTCACCAGCACCCACGCTGCACAATGCAAGGTCTACCGCCAAATGCGATCTTTTCTCATACGCGGCGAGCGTGGGCATCTGCCACCATCGGCCCACAAATCACCTTATTGCAAGGGAGTGGATGGCAAACCCCTATCGTGGGACGTATTTGTACCGTATACCAACGTATTGTGGCTGGCATACCTCTACCAGTACATGATCAAGGGGTTCCAGGGCGACAAGAAGGATCTGGCAGCATTCAAGAAGGTCACGAAAGAGCTGTGGAAATACCTCGATCCAGATGCCAAGGCTGGAACGCCGGCATTTGGGACTTCTGCCGAGGTTGTGAGGTTCGCGGTTGAAGCCGGCTGGATAGACGAGTTACAATTGATGGGGGATGTCGAAGAAGATAGGGAGGAGAGCATCATCCTTTCCAGAGAAGAGGTGCAGGAGCTGGGTCTGCGAAGATCACCGAGAAAGCTGCGGTGACATTGAAGAATGTCGAGTACGAGCTTGGTTTGAATTTACGGCGCATTGCATACCAAGGGGCATCAGGGGCCGGGGCATTAGAAACGGGCAACAGGCGAAACGGCGGGTGTAAGGTGCATGCATATATGATTGCAAATACCCAATTGATATTGTTCGACAAAGCCAATCAGTGATGCAAAGCGAATGCAGATATACTCAAAGATCATCCCAGCGTTGGTGTTCCTGCGTGTAAGGCCATCATCCTCCAAACCCAAAGAAGTTCTGCAGTTGAACAGCCCTGCCTGCACATTCCTGACAAGACCATGATGCGATGGACGTCTAGTAAGATAGTCCACCAGAACCAATCCCCACCCCGCTGCCTCTAGCTAACACTTGCTCTTCCCTTCTCTCCGCCGTTTCTCTTCCCACTTTCTCAATGTCTAGTGCCCTCCCCATCACGCCCGTATTCTCGTGAGGATACGACTAAGAAAAGGCTTCTTGGGATGACCGTGTTCTTCCGTGAGGACCTCTTGGGGACTATCGCTGCCTTCATGAGAAGATTGTACTTCCAGGTCCGCGACAATCGCAAGCTTGTTTCCTCGCAGCTCGACTTGCAAAAAAAAAAATTTGAAGTCTTCTTGAGAACACCTGCCGGCTGCAGACCATCGCTCAAGACTTCACGGCAATCATTACTGAGGACGACAAGAGTTGCCAGAGCCGAGTCCTTGACGTCTGCCGGTATATAGACATCTTTCGGTCCTCGTTCTCGAAACTTCGCGCTCTGGGCGGTAATGACGATAACAAGGAATAGTGTCGCTGCAGCAATCTCGACGGCGAGGAAGGATATCCATCCCCAACTTACATGAACAAATGAAACCTCCTTGAGAGGAGTTCCCGCGATAACGACCGCACCATTTCTCTTATCTAGGTGATGGGCGGTTCGTAGCCTGTCAAACTTGGTCAGTGAATTCGAAGGGAAACAGGAAAGGAACTTACGCAGATGAAACGCCGGTAGCAACGTCTCGAAGGAAGTTGTCAAAAGTAGGTCTCTCGCCGCGTGGAGTTGAACATAGCCTGGCTGGAGTAGAGCATTTTAATGGGCCAGGACCGAGCAAAGTCACTAACCCAGAATTCTCCAGGTGACTCGTTGGACGGAACTCGTAATTATGCGTCTCCTCTCATCCAATGGGATGTGCCCGATGCAATATCCCACATGGATGCGTACGAGGCGCTGAACTTCCTTGTTCCGGAATTCGGTGTGATTTGCGCAACTAAGTCGCCCGGGTCTTCCATCGGCTCGCACATTTCAACTCCACTCAAAAATGGTCTACACTTGGGCCCCAAGACCATACCTTTGCTTGGATCATCTATTTGCGATAGAGTGTCGGTAATACTGGTCTCTTCCACGCCCGTGCTAACTTTTGTGCCGAACGTCTAAATGCAAATATGGAACATGACTTCGCGTGCCTCGTATTCGAAGCTTCTAAACGAGTTGAGCACGTTGGTAGCGTCATCTGTGCCATTCGTGACGAAGCTAGTCCTGTTGGGTGATTGCGGAGAGGTGTAGATGAAGAAGAATGAGGCTATTTTGGTGTTGAGAAGGCTTGTGTTGCTTGAGAAGCCGAAGGTATCGGCCTCTTCCAAACGACCGCCTGTTACCGCCACTGTCTCCTGATGCACTAAATAGTATTTGTCTGAGAGGCTCACGTTCCATGTGTATTGACTTTCCGAGCTGCCCGGAATCATGTCCGACATCGGGCCATCTGATAGCTTGATCCGTAGCTTTGAAGTTATGTTGACAGTATCCACACAAACACCGAGTGATTGATAGGGACTGAAATTGCAATTTCCCGTAGAGCATGTAGCTTTATGTGGAGGCGCAGGCACTTCGAAACTCCCAGAGTCCGGCATCGTAGCCTTGAGCGACGCAATTTCCACCAGACTTGCCATATCTGCACTGTCTCCGCTGATTTTGTCGATGGTGAGTACCGTAGCTTCCTCCCCGTAGGCGGTGGAATTTCGCAGAGGGTAACTGATAGCTAATTGAGTTACTGGAGAGGAAAGAATGCTAACAATCATCAAGATGGCACCGATAGTGACTGTGTGCTTGAACCGCAACCGGGATAGCAACTTCATGGAACCCCATGCGCCCCTACTTGCCTGGTCGAGTAAGCAAAAGTCGTACAGGGGCTTTGGTTTTAAGAACCAGGTAAACTTTGATTGACTCAAAGCCGTGGACACTGGTATCATGAAGGCTCCTTTGGCCAATGTTGTGAAGAAGGCGAGAAATGTGTTGAGTGTGATCTTGAAACGCCAATTTGGCAGTGTATGATCATCATAAGAGGCAAGAACAATGATGGTGGCTGAAGGTTTTCATGAAAGGTGTTAGTCAAGGATCTGCCCGGGTGAGAACTCGAGTTGGATTCTTGGAATCCAGACACGCTTGCTTACCGATAAATGAAGCAATGCTGGCCATAATACAGAGTATCTCTTTCCACCAGACCTTCCAGAATGGGGCATGCACTCTCAGTGACGTAGAGAGCTGGGATCCGCTTTTTGAGCCAGCGCCCCCGGTTGAGGATTGCTCTGAGGAAACGGGCTGCTCCTGACTGAGAATCAAGGTGTCGTTGATTGCGGGCTCTTGGAATGTGAGAGAAGCCGGTATGTTCTCATCTCTGGGGTCTTGCTCGATCTCACGACTGCCTGTCGGTGAAAGAGAGAGGCTGGTGCATTATTGAGGCTGGGCATCGGCAGACATGGTTAAAGGGGATGACAAGGCGTTTGCTAGATGGGAATTGCTCTCATTGTGATGAAATATTTGCGCTGACATGTTCTCGCTGGATTCATCAGGGCCGGGAGGTTGGTTCTGGAGAGCCTCAACAACTTCGTCCAGATGAGAGTCTCGTTGACTTGCCGGTTGCGATACTTCTGCAGTCTGGCCCGACATGGCTGGAGAGGAATGATAAGAGAAGCTGATTAGTAGCTTGCATAAATCGGAAAGAAATGAACGCAACCGGGAGCGGACGAGTTCCATATATGCGTCGATGCAGTGAATGAGGCTTATACGGGTTTATTGGAGCTTATAAGTCTAAGTCTGCCTGTTTCACGCAAAGGTTGGACTACGGCTCACAACAACGAACAAGTGGAACTGAACATCGACTTTTTTCCCGGCTATGTGCAACTCGAGACGGGTAACATCCGCAGGCAACTTTTCCCAACGCCAGGCGGCGAGGGTTGTAGAACGAGCCGAATTCCTGTAAATAGCCAAGCCGTAGCAGCGTTCAAGAGCAACTTACGGCAGTAACAAAGTAACCCCCAATAACAAACAAAATCTACGCCACACCGCTGATTTATCACGGGCAGATTGAAATTCTTCATGATTACGGCGGTGAGCCTTATGCGGCACATGGCTGTACGCTGCCTGCTGGCCAGACACAAGTGGAACTGCACATTGCCTCCGAGTGTAGGAAACACATTGCGTGGTTACGACTTCCGTGCAGCTTCACAAGGCTACGATTATTACGGTAGCATTCGGGGACCTGTAGTTATGTTTGAATAGTGTCGTTGCAAAGGAAAGACACTTACATCATAGGGGACATAGACAATTCGACGGTAGCTTGAGTTGGTACTTCAATGAATGTTGACGGGTGTAAGTCCTTGCATCCGAATCATTTCACCTTTTTTCTCGATCCAATGTAAACACTACAGATAGTAGATGATATCATTATCTGACGGCTGAAACTCGTATGTATATACCACGTTATCGTGAGATCTCGAGGTGAGTTCTCGAAATCGGTTGAGCTGTATACCAACTGAATAGCCAACCGCCAGGAAGAGAAGAAGAAGGAAACTGACGCCCCGTAACCTTTAGTCCAGCACTAATCTACAAGGCCATCGCTCAGCCAGGCCTTCCACAGCTCAAAGCTCTTTACAGGCTCACTGACCGACACTTCCACCCGCGTGGCCAGGCCATTCAAAGCGGAGCGCGAATTCGTGGCTAGGCGTAGGTAGTTAAATTAGAACAGAAGGAGCGAAAGCTTTTGAATTTCTCCGATGACCTTGATCGGGAGACGTTCGTTGCCATAAAGTAGTCTATCAACATTCTCGTAGCACTTAGTAGACTGGGTAAAGGTCTCTTCCCCTCCGTAAATGCACAGCGCGCGACCAAATAAGCACCACGACTAGGGAACCCTCTCAGCTTTCATATGCAGTCATTCAAAGGTCACGTATAACCATCACTTAGCATCGTCTACGCCCCCGAGACCAGCTTCCAGGATTTATACCGTATAGTATGTTTGCAGGTGCAGTAAGGTAGATGTACGGGCAGCGGGTATTCGCTTGACGCTTTTGCAGAGCTAGGAGCTCTTGAACGTCCCACGTAACTTGGCGCAAAACTCCTACTTTCAAATGTTCGTGGTCACGGATACCTGTTGGCGCTATGTGCTGGACACAGAACTACCACCGAAGATGGCCTGGGTCTTCCGCACTCTGAAGGGCCACAAAGCAGCGTATTTGAAGGAGGTGGCGGAAGCCCTCCAATCTAGCATTTCTCGATAGACCAAAAACATTTGGTGAGGGTAAAGACAACACGCTACCGCATACACGACTACGAACTCCAGAGATTCGAGACAGATGTAAGTCTGGCGAGATGCATCAGCGAGACACTCGTAGCCCAGAGCTTACACGAAGCCCACGACAAACGAGGACACTTTGGCGCGCTGATTACGACGCATTGCCTCCGAGGATGAGTGTTCTGGCCCAAGAGGACACAAGATGTCGACCTCTATATCAAGTCATGCACAGCGGCCTCTCCCACCTGCGGGTTACGGGAGTAATAGGGGTTAGTTCTTTGCACAACGCATCACGATATTTTGCTTCAGTCTAGAATCTGACAGAACGAGGCTTCCATTGTAACGGACATATCATTCTCGGTAGAGAGGGGTATATTATTCTAATCATCTATTTTTCGATTATCCTTGACCAACTCGCCGCCCCTCAACCGGCAAGCAACTTATCATCAGTCTCAAGAATCTTTTCCTGAACACTCTGATCCTCCTTCACCCCATTCTTCTTCACCTCCTCCTTCACCTCCCCACCTCCAGCAGCCTTCAACTTGGCCTTATCCTTCTTACTCAACGACACCGCCCCCTTCGCCATAGCCTCCTTGGGCAAAGGCCGAATAATCGGCTGCACAACCCACCAAGGCCTCTTACACCTCCTCACCGCACCCCTCGAACTCTCCCCATCCTCCTCCTCCTCCTCCACAACCTCCTTCTCCTCAGCCTCGGGTCCAAGAACCTCATCACCCACAAACATCTCCGCGCCCCTCGCCTCATACTCAATCAACCCCTCCGCGACCTTACGCTCCACTATACCCAAAATCCTCTCATACGCCTCCAAATCCCCGGCCCGGCTCTTCGCCAGCAGATCCCGCACATCGGTATGCTTCGACACGAAGTGCCGCAGCAGGTGAAACATGTGCGGCTGCATCGCCGAGTAATTCGCGCTCAGCGCCCGGCTCTTGGCAGATTTAGGCCCGTTCGTCACGTCCCGCCTCCTCTTCTTCCGCTCCGGCTCGTCCTGCTCCGCCTCCGCCTTGTCCATCTCCTCCATCCACGCCGTGTCGTCACCCACGACAAACAGAGAACGCCGCGAGGGCGGATCCTGGCCCGCGGCGTACTTGTGCAGGATATCCATGTACCGCCTCATCACGGCGTCGACGCGGTACCCGCCCTTCCCGTCCTTGCCGCGCCAGTACTCCCTCGTTTCGGCACCGGCTTCCGGCGGCCGGCTGAAGATGGCCGGGTCACTCAGATTCCCCTCGGCGCTCATAACGCCATCCGCGCCAGTAGCATCCAACGCGCGCTGCAAATCGTCGTGCTGCAGAATATTGCCATTCGCAAACAGCACAGTCTCAGCCGGCAACTGGCCCCTCAACCACCGAATCGTCTCCCAATCCGCCAACCCCGTCAAATGCCCCTTTTGCTCCCTCAGCCGGCCGTGGACCGTAAGAATCGACGCGCCCGCCGCGAGCACGTTGCGCGCATACGCCAGCGTCGCCGCTCTTGTATCGAGGATGCGGATTTTCGCCGTCACGGGGATGGGCAGGTTCTTGTGCAGGGTGCTGATGAGCCTGAAGATGAGGTCCTGGTCCTCCTGCAAGAAGGCGCCGTATTTTCCCTTCTTGGCGATGCCTTGCGGGCAGCCCAGGTTCAGGTCCACGGCGTCGCAGTAGGGGGCGACCTTGAGCGCTGCGCCGAGGAGGGCGTCGGGGTCGTTTGCGCAGAATTGCACAAAGAGAGGTCTGTCGATGGCGGGGTTACCGTCGAGCCAGGGCTTGGTCGTCGGAGGAGGAGGAGTCGGGGTCGTGGCAGTCGCCGTCGGGGTCGTGGCAGTCGCCGTCGCAGTCGCATTGTTCGAGTCCTCAGGTCTAACCGCCTGGAAATGGCACTGGCGGTAGTTTTCCGTGTCCTTGTACAGTCGCGCATGGAACATGGGCGTGTAGGCCACCAAATTCTTCTGCTCGGACGCCGGGATGAACGACCGACTCAGCATTCGCCATGCCTATAGGAGCCAGTCAGGCACGGTTAGCAATCCAGCTCCCAGACAACGCCTCTTTACCTCACGAGCTTTGAAAAAAGGGGAAAACAAAAACCTACAAATTCAGATTGATCCACCATAGGGGCGAGGATATACTTTGGACTTCCAATACTCTCATAGAATGCCCGGCCGTGCAGCTTCGGTCTGGCCGCAGCCGCTGCTGATGCGCCAGCCTCAAGCCCCGCGGTCGGGGCCTCTGTCGTTGTCGCCATTCTTCTCGTCGAGGTCAAGAATCGGGCGAACCGGGTTGTCTGAGACGTCCGGAGCCTCCAGAGCCTGAAAACCCCCTCCAGGATTTTGACTGTTGTTCAAATAAATTTTTTTAAAAAATTCCAACTACCAAGCGACCGAGTTTGGCATCGCACGTTTGACTGAATCCTGTTTTGACGTCTGCTGTGACTCCCTAACCAAGGTAGCTTGTGATGGCAGAAATTTTTGAGTAAGCCTTGCATACTAACAGAGTGCGAGGCTAAGAACCCCGAATGGGAAACTCTCCCTGATTGGGTGGGGTCATGGGCCCAGTCTTTCCCCCACGCACCGCATGGAACCTTAGGTGCTGCGACAGAAGGGGAACTGTCACCTACAGCAAATGACGTCGTCCCGCCGATCAAGGAGAAACGTTCTGCGGAGACAAAGTACCTCAAGGTAGGTAGGTACCTGACACTGCAGTTTCTCAAGACTCGACTGGGCTCATCTGGTTCTAGCACTGAGACGGTGTGTCAGACCATTCATGACACACGCAACCCAACAAAGGATTGCTTGCGTAAGGCCAGGGCTCTTCACATGCAAACTTTTCACAACGCGCGTTCTAGTCCGCTCTAAACTATTCAATTCGCTGGAGCGGTCGATACCAGCATCGAGACCTCGCTGAGACTAAGCTGTTCTTTTGGAAGAAAAAAAAGCCACACTCTATTCTGCCTCCTCATGACCCGACGAACTTTGAAGGCGACGTAACTCGAAGAGAACCGACAGGTAACGAAAAGTCCTTTAAGCCCTTACAAAACAAATATCGAAACACTAAACCTCGACCGAGTGCCAAGTGTGTGTTTGTGTGTGATGCCATCTTTTCAGAAATCCGCATCTGGTTCGTTAGAGGACTTGGGCCCCATCTGATAAAGTGTAAGAGGTCACCGCTATTATCGCCATCATGTCCTCGAGCTCCGTGTGATTGCTGCTCAAATGCAAACAGGCCGTCGGCCTGTAGTCTGCACTGACTGGCCTACTGCAAGGCTGTCCCGTCCGGCCGCCGTCTTCGTATACCTCCCGCCCATTGTGACAATAGTAAAAAAAAAAAAAAAAAAGGAATTAATCGACAAAGGGCGGCCGGGCAAGGCTTCTCAGTCAGGCAAGAAAAATGCTGTCGAGTGACGATTGTAAACGCCCTGACACCGTACGATGCTGTTCCTGAACGCCGTCGAATGGTAAATGTAGTTCAAATACATGATCAATGGGTTGCTGCCCATCATCAAGAAGCAAAAGTGGGAAGATTCCGTCTTGCAGGCGTAGCCTTCGTTAGAAGAAGTGCGTGTAAATCTTGGAGTTTTCGTGAACTTCCATTTCCTGTTGTGAACAGTTAGCGATGAATCCATCTAATGTGCCCAAGATCAATACGTACCATCTTGAATGTGTTGAGCTCCTCCTTGATCTGCTGGGCTAGCATCGGCGTCAGGCGATTGCAGGTAGCAATTTCGCCCCTGCGGTCATACTCGCCGCTGGGCCAAGTGTCGTGGAAGACAATCCTCGGCGAGAAAGTTGCGTTTCTCTTGGCAGAACCCGAGGGCGTTCCCGGGGCACTCTTGGTGTCCTGGCGAAGCCTCAAGGCAGTCATGAAGTAGTCTTCGTTGCCGATGGCGACGGAACCCGAACGCTTGTGGCCCTGAGCCTCGTCATTTGGCGTGCTGGGTGCGGTTGAGATGGGAGAATCGGCGACATTCGGGATCGCGGGCAACTCGAAGTTGGAGCGCGGGTCGCGAGCAGGGCTGCCTGATCGGTTGTGCTTCAAGATGCCTTTCCTGACAGCGGCAAGCGCCTCGGCACGCTCCTTATCACCATCGACAATGCTCTTTCGCCTCGCGCTATCGGCACCTGAACTTCCAGCACGTTCCGAAACCATGCTAGGGGTATTCGAAATATCCAACGAGTTGCGTTCCAGATGAGGAAAGCCAGTGCCACCGCCGTTCTGTGCATGAGGATCAGCGTTGACGTTGACTCTCTCGGCTTCAACCGTGACCATCGACACGGCAGCCTGGCTGGCTTCTGGGGCCAGCGCATCTGCTGCCGGAACGCCAATGACGGACTTTGGCCGGAAGAGACCGACGAGGTTACGAGTGCTCTTCTTCATGCCACGACCCATCTTACGGATCATGATCGAAGCAGACGATGCGGTGGACGAAATGGAAAGGTTATCCGTCGAGCTGGAAAATAGCCTTCCGCCATAGATGTTGTTCCCGATGCCCCCTTCCTCCTGCTTCTTCGCGATGGCGGCCTGTTCTGCATCGTAAATCTCGGCCGCCGTCGGCTCCTTGTGCAATCTGGTCGCATCGGATACACTATTTTCGTCGATAGTAGGTTCGGGACCGGCGGCCTTTGTGAAATCGGCCGCGCTACCGAATGAAAAGGCTCTGCGCAATCGCGATGTCTTGCTCTTGGATTTTGTACTTTTCTGGTTAATCGCAGCCAAATGCTGGGCTGCGGGGCTGCTAGCGTTGTTGCTGTTGGTCGCAGTCGTGCTCTGAGACAAGACCTGTTGCGGAGTATTGCCCAGAGAGGAAGGTGGTTTTTGGGGACCCGAGTCGGTCGCCATGGTCACCGGCTTGGAGAGAGGAGAGGGAGTAGACTGCCTCTTGGCCGCATCTGACGATGAGCTTCGTGGAGGAATGTTTACGAGTTTGGGATAATCTTGCTTCGATGAGCCATCATCCAAGTGTGAAGGAGTTGAAGAGGAAGAGGGGTTGCCCGTGGGGGTGGGTACGCTGCGGTTGGCAGACTGGTGGAAATAACCTTGTTAGCGATGGAACACTTTGAGGATGGCTGGGCCAGTGCGTGATTGGGCAATCGAATGAAGGGATGAGGCGGAGACAGAGCGCCTCCAGCGACACCGCAAAAACCGGGAGTGACAACTTACCGAAGATGGTCTGGAATGGCTGCTGCGGCTCGACGCAAGACTTTCAGCGCTGCCATTGCGGACATGCATGTTGTTGTCGGCGGGAGGTGCAAGACTGGAGACGATGCGAAGTGTCTTTTCGCTGTTTTTGGGAGTTGGCACGCGGTCGGAACGGGAGGAATCTTCCGGGTGAGAGAATTCCTGTGGGGTTAACGGCTTGGGATAATCGGCAGAATCAAGCGAGTGCATGCTGCGCCGCCTGAGTCGCTTGCCGTCTTCCGCACTTTGTTGTTGACTTAATTGCATGTCATCAACCGCACCATAATAACTGTTTGGTCTGCTCTGGAAAGACGGGTTTCGACCTCGCACTGACGCGCTCTTTTGCTCATCATTGTACAAATGACTAACAGTCGCCATGCCTGAGCCTGACGGGGCGCTAGTTTGGCGAGGTTGTTGTTGTTGTTGCTGGAGAGCCGGGCGCCGGTACCTATCAGGCGTCGTCTTAGTCCCAGAGGTCTGAGCGAATGTCATTTGCTGTGTCGTGTTGCCTGCCAAATACGCCGACTGGGGCCTCGGGGCCTGTGAATTTGTGCGAGCAGCAGGAATGCCCGAATCGTCCCTCGAACCCCCTTTGCTAGTTCCCATGCCGTGATTGTAGCCAACGTTGGATACTGAAGAGCTTCCAACGTGACGCGCGCCTTGCGCCGGTACCGCAGGTGAAGATGCCGTGCGATATCCGTTGCCATATTGTTGCCACTGATTATTGGTGTTCAAGCTCGGGGTGCTGGTGAAAGCGTAGGGCTGGATTGGGGCGTTGCTGCCGCGATACCCGGCGGAACCCGAGAAGTTCCTCTGCGACTGTTGAGCAGCCATGTATTGCTGGTTCGCCTGGGCTTGTGTCGGGACCATGTTGCCTGAAGGTCTCGACTGGAGAGTGGTAACAGTGGTGGTCTGCTGGGGGTACGTTTGAACCAGCGCGGCCATGTTCCAAGCAGCCGTCGAGAACAGAAAGTGGCGAACAAGCAGTCCTTCGCCGGTCCTTGTGGTCGGGCAAGTTGCTCGGAATCAAAGTACGGCTTGATTGTCGTACTACAAGGGCGAGCTCGGACAATAACCAAGGCGAGCAATTTGCTGGGCAGATGTGCAGAATACTGAACGAGGCAGACAGATTAGCAAGGCTCTTTCCATTCGAGTTTGGCGACAGCAATACGGCCTCAGCAGGGCCAGCGGACGGCTCACTTCCTTCCAACGTATGACACGACAAGAAAACGGCCGCGAGCAACGATCAGAGTAGAAATACAGATCTAACAAACCTTTTTTTCTTTTTTATACGAAGGTAGGAAATGGAATGATGGTTATTCTGTCAAACGACCGACTTCTTTCTCGACAGAACGGAAGTTGTGGTTGGAATCAGATAGCGATTGTGGAAACGAAGGTCGCCTGCGGCCAGGGGTTACAGCGAGAGTCTCGTTGTACTGAGAATAAAGAAGGATGGTTGATGCTTCGCTTCTACCGCGAAGAGAATGTTGGAGAGCACTCGTTACGGGCGATGGAGGAATCGACCAAAGGGAGGCAAGATCAAGTGTCACCGAGACAACTCGATTCAAAGCTAGCAGTCGACCGAGAACATGGAGATGTAAAGCACTCGTATCGGCTCGAAGTTGTAGCGAGGCAATCGTCGGGAACGGGATGAGGTGGTGACGAGTCAGCCACGCAAACCTGAAGCTCGTCTTGTATTCGGGGTTTGAGATGGAGGATGTTTCGAGATTTCGGGTCACAAAAAGAAGAAGTTGCAGTCGTTAGGCGTGGAGAGGGTGCGGTTTGTGTTTGTGTTTGTGTATTTTTTTCGGTTGCTTTCTTTTGTTCCTTGGTCTTTGGAAAGACAAATGGGCGACACGTAGAAAGGAAAGAAGGCGGCAGTAACGGACGATGCAAAGTGCGATTCGGGGGGCAACGAGGAGACGGGGGAAGAGAAGATGGATCCAAGTCGGGAAGGGGACCCTGAGAGTCAGGCAGCCTCTTGGAAGTTCCGTGAATTGTTTTTGGCGAGAGAAAAGGGGGTACGTTGGTGATGTGGGTTGGGATTTAGGGGAAAGACGGTGGAATTGGGGGCAGAGAGGCGGCGGAGGGGGGGAAGAATAGAAGGAAGAAGGGGGACAGAAAGGGAAGAGAATAGATGGGATATTTTTTTTTTGAGGGGATACAGAGAGAGCAAGTCGGATGTGGTGAGAGGGAATTCCCGGGAGGAGAGGAGGAGAAGGAGGTTTCTCTCAGGCAAATGGCGGCTCGGGGTGGGAAGGGAAGGCGTACACAGGAAGGTACTTCGTAAGGGTCGAAATGGAGATTGCCAAATGGGAAGGTTTTTGGTATCGTACCGATGGACCATGATGCTGCATTGGTCTGCTGGAGCCAGGCGGAGACCATACGCAGTACCTAGGAAATGGATCGTGAAAGTACCTGTATCACCCGTTCATACGCGCAAAGATACATGTGCTTTGCTTGTAAATGCACAATCCACCACGGCCTTGATCCTAGGCAGGTCCCCTACCCTTGATCCCATGTACCCTGTGTTTTCCTGCGGCAGACTGGGTGCCCCGGTCCAACGCCATCGTATCTGACTGGTCCAGTTTAGTTGCTCCTGCAAGTGCGGTCCAATGTACGAATACTTTCCTCACCTATTCATCCGTACGTTGAGCAACATTTCAGCGTATCTGCTCGTTGCCTGCCTTTCTATCCCGTACCTTATAGCTCGATCTTTAGCATTCTGTCTGGCTTGGTCTATAGAGTACACTTATTTGATACGCCTGCAGACTATGAGTAGTCAACGGGGAATTCATCAGTTGTACTTGCTTTTGCACTCTCTTAGGTGAGATATCACAGGGCAGACCATCAACGTATCGGTGGAATACCTGATGAGAGGTTCAGGAGAGAGCCCCTTCCATGTATCAATGTATTTTGCAAAGCCCTGTGTGAGACTGGTCCGTCCCCCTTGTTATTCTTCTCCTTCTCTATCAAGCCCGCACACAGGGCGGATCCCCCAAATCCTCCCCAAGAATAACCCAAAGAGGAAAGGCCAGGACGCGTCCTCTTGGTCTAATGGAAAGGACGTGAGAGACGTCCCTTTTGCTTGGAGAATTTTGGCAATCTGTCATTGGGCGGATGAACGAAAAGCGGCGAATCACGACCACGCTACCCCTTGCTCCTGAGCGACTGGAAATGCCCGCCGCGCTCAGAGTGCCACGAGTGCCTCCTTCCTGTGTGTGTCCTGTGTCCCGAATGAGGAAGCGAAGGGATTCGGGAAACAACAAAAAACACAACCACAACATTCTAGCACTTACCGTGCCGGTGCACCAATCCCACGCCCGTGCCTAGGTATTCACTGCTACTACCTAAAGGCAGGTACTCCGTACGCATACCTACCTTCCAACACTTACGTAGGTACTCGGGTAGCCTTAGCCTGCCCCTTGCGCTTGAGTATCGCTAGAGAGCAAAAGCAAGAGCGCTGCAGATACAACCACCTCACACACAAACACACACGAATATACACAACAAATAACAGCACGCTCAACATGACCATCTCTACTTCTGCGCATGCAGAGAACACCACCGTTACCTGCAACCGCCATTCCCATGCGGCACCGGGCATAGGTCCGGGCACTGTCAGATGAGAAAGATGGGATGCTTGAGCTCAATCCAAAGGCCCAAGACCCAAAGGCGCAACACCGCCTCGGAGACATGTTCAACGCGCAACGTCCATCCATCCATCGCGCGTCAAACAACGTCCAAGGAGGCGGAAACGAAACGCCCAGCTCTCGAAGCCCTCCCCCTCAACCTTCACACTCCAAAGCCCGCCCGTGCTAGGTTATCTGACCTCACACTGCCGAGTCTTCACAGTAGCCGTACGCCTCCTCAGCCTCCCTTGCCAGAGGACCCTTAGGCTTAGTACACGACATCATTGTATGGATGTACAAGCTACCCAAAGTGCCCAAGTGCTGAAATTCAGCGAGGAGCCAGTTCTTCGGGATCGAGGCACACACACACACACACACACACACACACACACACACACACAAACCCATACCTAGCTAGGCTCCAGACTCTTACACGATGGGACGAAATGCAGATTCTTCGGCTCGGCCAATGTTATCAACCCACCAGCAGATCCAACCAAGGGACACATGTATACTAGACACTTCCGTACTCTACTGGACCGTCTGGATTCACCAGCTGGAGATTCTACCTAGCTCGTCGATGCATCTCTCGGCGGACTAGATGACAGACCGCCACGGCGGTACAACAACATGCCTCATCAACACTGCCGGCCAATCACCATTTGGTTCGCCTCAATCTTGTCTCTGGAGCTGTCTCTCCCCCTTCTGCAGCGCAGTCTGCGGCGCGGGTGCAGTCGTCAGTCACCGGTTACGTGTGATAATCGGCGGATACGAGGGGCAGAAGGGAACGCTTCTCCGTATTCAACTTACAAAGTACCCCACCACGGTGGCTTTGCCTTGCTAGAGGTGGTGAGGTAATGCTACCTGCATATCGGAAGGGATGGCGTCCCCTGTTTTCGACAGGGGAAAAAATTGCAGGGCCACTTCACCAGCCTGCTCTGTCCACTCTCCGCCTCCCACCCCACGACAAAGAGACAAGGCAAATTCGTACGAATTATGCGGGAATCTGGGAGACTGGAGCTCACTGGAGTTATTGCCGCCGCCGCACTTCATCCGGTACGCCTGGGCGTCCGGGTGGTCACCGACAGGGAGAAGTGAGATGGGGAGGAAGAAGCCGTTCGTGATGGACTCCGCAGCTTGGCGGCGACATCAGCAGCACCATGCCAGCAAACCCGGAAGATGCGATTTATATCCGAACCTCAAAGCCATGCAGAAAGAAGGCAGATATGCCGTGTGAATTTGTCTTACCCACAGTCTGCAGGAGATACACTCTCGGGGCCACTCAGGCAATCGACCGTTGACTTCACATACACACGCACTATCTGTAGTCACAACAGTATTACCGCACACGCAAGTAGTGAGGACGACGCTCAGTAGTTTGCACCCCGACCTGCCTGATTGATTCATTCGACCGGCCGCTCTTGACAGCATTGATGACGTTGGCTAGAGTCCAGCCTCCGATCTGATCTGATCTCTGGGCTTGTTGATATTGCAATGCTCATGACCTCACTTGAGCTTCCCTTCTTTACTCCTTCATTCTTCCATGCCTACTCGTTTTCCTTCTCTTCCTTTGACTTTGAGCCTTAGCTCGCTTTCACACACTATATTTAGTCCACGGCGAGAGATCAGTCAGGGGTCCACAAGACAAGTCTTCGGCCAACGACCAACGGGTCGCCAGTGGCACATAAGAGGCGGGCAATGGAGAGACATTCGAGGTATGTTGTACGTGGGATGCACGAACACTTACATGCAAAGGGGCGACGCTATGCGCGGCCCACTTCGTACATGTACTTCTCGTACCGCAAGTGGCGGCGACAGCTACACACAATACCGTCGACCGCGACGACAAGCAGGACAAGCACGACACGCACACACGAGATTCTCACAGGCTACAGACGGGTTCTTGTTAGCAACGACAACGGGGGTGAGGTGGAAACGACGCTAACAGGCTAACAGACTAGCATGCTTGCTAACGGGCCATGATCGCTTTTCGCGGCGATGCGGCGGCGGCGTTGCGGCCCCTACAACTTTCCGGCGCCCCTGCCGATGAGATATGATGTGCTCGTATGCTAGCAATCTAGCAGGTGGCTTGAAGATGCGAGACGAGATCAACTTCGTACGGATCCAGATGCAGAATATCAGATGCAACTCATTCGGCACAAGTGCGAGTATGAAGCAGGCCAAAGTACGCATACAGATACTGCTTCTGTGCGGCTCCCAGTACTCCGTATCCTTTGGGATACAAAGAGCTGGCTTGAATTGCGGTGAGACGATGCAGGCCTCTGGCTGGGGAACGCCAACGGACAGCTCCAGCTAAATTTCCGTACTCCGCGTCGTAGGCTATTCGTACGGATAGAAGCTCATGCTTTGGAAATGAGGGGAAGGTTTCCCGTCAGCAACCATCGAAACAAGCCAGGACCCGCCAGCATAACGAACAAGGAGACGCCCCGTCGCAAGCAATTTGCTTGTCACTGCGAATACTCTTTCTATGCAACGCACAAACTCCAGATGCTTGACGGCCACTTCAGCCCTGTGGTGGTGCTGGCTATTTAAGTGTATTCTAGAACAAATGGGGCCTCTGGAGGGAAGCATGAAGTTGTTGTATCCGTACAGAGAGTGTGCGGATACACCGAGCACAACTATCTTCTGCAGCTCATGTTGCTTTTCCATTCCATCTACGCATTGATCCCGAGATTTGCCATGCTCAATCAGGGAGCGCTTAATAACCATGGATGATGCGCGCCCATGCCCGTGGTCCTGGGCTGTTTTGCTGGGCTTTTGCAATGTGCAAAGATCGAACAAGCCTGTTCGCAGATGATGCATCCAAGCACCCGCGCGCGAGGTCATCGCTCAATTTCTCGATGCTGAAGTAAGCACACAAGGTCAAGGTTGGTCGACCGTATGATCAGATCATGTCCAACTGGAGGTCCTTGAGCGGCATTGAACAAGATTGCAGGACAACGGCAAGGATGGAGTGTGGATGAGAAGTTGAGTAAACAACCAGCGTTCAGGTTTACAAGTCCAGTCAGTATGCCGGACGGATATCTACCATGCCTTTCCTAGGTCGCGCCGCCACACTTGCTTCTCATCCACCTCTCTTATTGCTGGCGCTGATTGGCATCAGGATTGCTGCGAGCATCTGTACCTAGCAGGTTGGCACTAAGCTTCACCCAGGGCAAAGACAATTACCGAGAAGCTTCGCAGGCGATGACCCTGAACGAGAACGTCTGAAAGGGAGGCCGTCGGAGCCAACGGCTCGCACCTACTGCAGGCGCGAGGCAAAGCCCAGGCCAAGTGACGGATGATTGATCATGGGTGATTTGATCATCTCGACGGAAACGAGCCGCTGGCTATCTGCTTGAAACGACAGTCCCAAACGCCGATGCTTCAACGCTCGCGGTATGTGATTTCGATGTTGACAGGTGCCTCCTTGCCAGCAGAATTAACTTGGGCATGGAGACGCTTGCGTCAACCACCACCTTAGCTTGGAGGAAAGGGATTCTCTCTGTCTGATGCAGAGACGGCACAACAGGGTTCAGACATGCATGGCTCTTGCAGTTGTCTCGCTCGTCCGGTCTTGGATTCTTTGGCGGCCCAAAGGCTCAGGCCGCCCGTAAAGTTTTCCATCATCATCGACAGACTTTCGGCAGCCTCCAGCAATATCTTTCTCCAAGAGTCCAGGACTACCTTCATCAGGAATTGAGGTGTTGCTTTCAGCTCGTCTGTCGGGAGCAAAGCCTCCGCGGGAATTATGAAAGATTTCCGACTACACCCTAGTCCCTGTCCCCGACATCTCATGGGCAGACTTCCTGGACTTCCTGGATCCCCGTCGCCAAATCTTTTCTCCTTTCGCCAGACCTGAACCTTCTCTCTGCTGTTGGACCCGATCACGACGCTACGTCGAAGCTGCGCACCGGCATAGAAACAAGCTCACCTGCATCCTGCACTGACAGAAACCCCATCCGCAATGCGAGTCTATCTCAATTCACAGGCCCTTGGGCTGTTTGAAGGGCCGTCAATCAGTTCGAGGGGTCGTTCGACTCGTTCCAACAACCATCTTGATGCGCACATTCATTATCAAAGCCACAAGGGTACGGAATACTCGCCGTCCTCTCCCGCGAGTATGACCCGATCTGGCAGGACATCACCGAACGGAGCCGCCGCCTCCTCTCGGGACCTCAGTACTCGATGACGCGGGCATATCGGTCTTCGGCAGCGTATCGGGCCAGTCACGCCGGGCCACATCTAGAGAGACGGCATTGCCCAGCAAATGCAGGGTCGCAAGCCTGCGTGGGTAAGCTCAAGCCTCGAATATGCCAACCTCCGATCTGATGCTTGTCAAGAGACTTTGTTACACCGAGTACCAGTGGCGGCGAAAAACATGGCATCCGTCTTGCGCTGCTTGTTGAGCCGTGTCTCGGCACTCAATCTTGTCCAGCCGGAGGACCATGGAGGGCTCTCACCATCCGTCCGCTCAATGTCGTGCCGAAGCAGAGTGCAATGAGCTTCCACGGACCACATGCCCCACCCTTCTCTCTCTCGTCAATCGGGTGTCTAGGCTCGTGATGCCCTTCTAACAACTTCCCTGCGTCTAGGGCCGAGGTTTTCTCGAATTGTTCGGTTGGGGGGGGGGGGGGGGGCGCGCGCTCAACGTCTGGACTAGCCCATGCGGGTATCGAGCCCACGGGTCTTTTCTTTTGTCGGCTGTTTCAATCTCACCTGGACCCCAAGCTTTCAGCCCAGCACGATTTGCAAGATTGATGAGCGGCCCATCCGTCGAAGGGCTGATACGGTGGTATCTTATTCGACCGTCGCGCGCCCACCGCGTCCGTTCCACCCGCCACCGGCAATGACAACAAGCACAGAGGCGCGACGGGCTGCATGAGAATACTTCCTTTTTCCTCATCTCGGTCAACTGGGATGGCTTCAATCCATCATTTCTTCTGATGCAGTGCGGGGGAGCAATGACGAGCCATTATTGGTTCAGCCCGGATCCCGTCCACTGCAACGCTGCAGCTTCACATGCGCTTGTCCTGCTGCGTGCTCTCAGGCCTTGCGGGGAATCGGCCACACCAACGCGCGCGACCCTTTTTTAAAAGCAGCAGGGCGATTCAGAGGAAATGTGCTCTCGAGATTCAAACAGTCTCGCGGCACGGACCCGTCAAGCCTGTGTCAATTCGTGCGATTGTGTGTGTCCCTGGATCGCTGGATCTGGAAGATGGATCTGGCAGCACAATGCAATACGATGTGCTATCAACGCAAGCACGGCAAGCTCTTCCCAACAGTCAGTGTCAGTGTGTGAGAGCAGGGCAATCCATCTCGCTGCTCAGTCTTCTATCTGGATCAACCTTGTATTAGACTGCAGGAGGAATAACGACTCGACGCCTCCTCCAAGGTCAAATCCATGATTTCTGCGGATGTCCTGGCAGCATCGCTGAAGATCAGAAGCACTCTGTGGAGATTGTCCTATCATGATCTTCTTGGCCCCGGACCGACTTGGTAGTGATCGCTTCGGGGTTGGAGAGCAGCCATCAACAGCGTTCTGGGGGGTTTGCTGCTTGGCTGCCAGTTGTGACCCTGCCAACACACTGCACACGCACACACGCAACAAGCAAGCAGTGGGATGTTCAGGGTCTGATCAATGAAAGTCGCCATGGCGCATTCTCGATGGCCTATACTACAATTACTGTTATGCAGAACAGCCCGGAGATTCCAAGTTTGCACCCTTGTTTCGCAATTGTCTGCAAAGATAAAATCGCAGACGGTCTCTCAGAACACAGCAAAAGCCTATGCCTCAGAAATCTCGAACATGGGGTGTTTGGCCAACGTTTTCCCCATGGCGGGAAGTGGAAATTATCGAGACTTTTCGCCGATTGCCTCACCACTTGCGCGGCCCCCCCCCGTTCTCGCCCACAGACTGGCGCAAGCAAGCCACGAACGACAGTGCCAGATCAGGAGGCCCGCTCTCGGCCATGGAGCGAAACAAGTGGCTGTCGACAGCCGAAGGAGTCAAGGACTGAGGGACTCACTTGCACAGCATCTTCTGTCGCCCCACGATCAAGAGTTGCGGGTTCCTGGCGTCGTGTTCTAGTCGGCAGCGCGACTATCCACAACGCCATCGCCCGTATAGTCTAGCGGCAGGATGACGGGCGACGATCATTTTACCAGAGACAGTCCGTCTCTATTTTCTCGTCCGTTCTGGCGGGCCCCGTGCGACAACAGCGACGGATCGCAGAGCCAATTCATCGTGAAAAAGGCAACGCAAGTGCTTCGATCAAGTTCTAGCTGCAGCAGACGGCGCACCACGAGCGCTGCAAGCGATGCAGACGATGCAGGTCAAAAGGCAATGGCGCGAAGCACTCCCGATGAGGCCACACTGGCCGGCCCATCGGTGATATCTTGCAGGACCCATTCTCCTCCACCCCGTGGGTACGATCCCAAGGCCCCGAAGGGGCTTGCGAATGGCGTGGCCAAGACCGGGCATGACCCCGAGTTTGTCCACTGAAGTCTGACGGGGACGCCCCATCCTAGGTGATGGATCACGGATCAGTTGCGGTGAGATGAACGGAACCAAACCTCCATCCCCGCACTCATCAATTCCATGCCTCTCATCTAATTAGTGTATCCTGCCGAGGCCGGGAGGCCAAGACGTCTTCTGCGAGCGATTAGCGAGGCTCAGTAACTAATTGTGTGCTGGTTTAAGCCACAGTCATCGGAGAAATGATCAAAGGTGATGCCAATTAAAGCATTTCAATAAATCGTCAGGCCCAGGTCAGCCGGCCGCGCGCTCCAGCCACTGCAATGACTTGGCCCCCAATAGCACAGCATCTCGAGGCGGCCGGTTTCCTCAAAGGGACCAAGAAGACAGGTATCCCAGTCCAATGGCCCGCCGTTCTAGGCAATTGGACTTCACCGAACCTACTGGATATGGCTCATGTTCAGTTCCAAGTTGGAAGTCCTCACCTTTACCCTTGTGGACGGAAGCCATTCCTGGACATATGGAGCCTTAAGATATCCATTATTCCCCGCTTATGGCCGTCAACTGACCATTCGTGAGCGAAACGACACCATGGCTATACCGACCGCTTCCACTACCGAGGCGACCTTCCTGGCCAAGTTACCAAACGAGACTCGACGAAGGCATTCACTTCGCAGCGTTGCTATGCAGATGGAGCATCGCCGCCCGTCCTCCTCTTGAAGTTTGTATCCGTAGCCGTACCCACACCCCTGTTTTCGGGGCCTCCATGTTCACTCCGGCCACCATCACTGTTCCGAGCCAAGCCGGGTAGTGGCTGTCATACTCCAGACGGCCGCGAAAGACGGGCCCCTTCGGTCCACTCCCGTACGCGGTCACCTGCAGTGGTGTAGCACGCCGTGCAACAGTATCAACAATGCCAAGGGCTTTTCCCATATAAACGAGCGGAGTGGCCGGTTGTTCAACGTCGGGTCCGGCGCGGGACCTGCTGCGGGAGACTGACACACGCTTCCCTCTCAGCCAGCCCTCTCCGGGATTGTTCCACGGAAGCAACGGTACTATGGCTAGTTCCCGCTGAACTCTTTCTTACTTGCGGTGAAGAGAGAGGGAGGACAAGTGCCACCGCCCGACCCAATGGGCGGGATGCGGCGTCGCACATGGCTTGCGGGACGCTGTGCGATGGATGAGGAAAAGTTTCCCCCTTTCGCCCCCTCCAACCCCCCTGGCTTGCCGATGTTGTGCGAGATTCCACGCGATCTTTCCCGGGCGTTGGGATGTTTGGTCCGGGTCCCCGAGGGACATCGCGTCGTCTGATGGGCGGGCACGCGAGTGGGTTGCACGAGTGTCGGCCATCTGGCTTCCGAGATA